TCGGAGTACTCTTGAACACCCGACCAACCCTTGGGGTATGGAAACATGTGAGGGAAGTGAAAGAATCATGCCAGAAGTGGAAGACACACTGCAAGGATTAATGGTTTAGACTTTAGATCCATCCCAAACTTTATGATTTCTCTCATCATCTCCAGTCGCAGGTCATTTGAGTCAGGTCATGATGGGTATATTGAAAAGCAGCGCTACTTTACCTTCACTTCAGACTGAAAACGTGTGCTTCCAATGATCGCAAGCATCAACGATGCTTTCAGGCCCATGCAGCATGTGAGTCTCGAGAAAAAGGTAATAGAAACACATACCAGGACCCTCCTGTCGGGGTGCCCCGTCTGGAAGCCTAACGGCCGGTAGTGTGGGGTAGTCCAGCCAGGACACCCCGAAAACGGAGGGTCCTGGTATAATAACCAAGAACTAAACAAAAATCCCACAACATGGTGGAAGTGGATGGCATGGCCCCGAGTTCGGCCGGTCACCGGTCGCTCCACCTTCCAAACCGGCTCGCTGGGACGGATCGAGGCTGCGAGCCGAGCTACATCCCGCCAAGCCCAGGCGATGGCGAAGGATGGACCTGTCGACACGACCTGTCTGGGACTGGCATATAGTGAGACAAGAGATCAGACATGTGTACAGATGCTTGGGGTGGGTTGAGCCCTAGGGTATCAACCGATGAGAAAGTGTGGTGGTTGACTGGGGGTCTGTTTGGGCAGTCCTATGGCCCCATGGAGCGGATGTTGGGATAGAAGTATATAGCTGAAGTCTGGACCTTATATATAAGGCTGTTTGCTAGTAGAAACAAGTGCATCGCTACTAGTAACAAGTGCCTTACTACTAGTAACAATGTTTGCCATTAGAAACAATAAGCTTCTAGTAACAGGTGCCACGCTAGTAGTAACAGGTGCCTTACTAGCAGTAACAATGACCTTATATAGGGATCCAGTCGTACCTTCTCACTTCTTAGGTTCGGTAACCTACTGGACCCGACGTGACTTGGCACCTAGCGCTAGCGGTGTCGAACAGTCCTCACCTGCTGAGAAGGTACGACTGGATCCCTATAGGAACACCTGAACCTTCAATCGTAGCACTTTTTTCTGGCGAACCAAGGAAATGAGCACTTTTTGGAGTTTCGTGGCGTTTTTTGATGAAACGAGCACTTTTGAATGAGTTTTAATGAAACGAGCATTTTTTCAAAAGTTGAACACTGAAGTCTTCTTGGGCCAAAGGTGGAAACTTGCAAAATGCGCGCAAAATGCCGCAAAACGCGCGCAAATTGCCACAAAACGAGCGCAAATTAAAAAGTGGCGAACCACCCCAACATGGGTTGGATATGAGAGGGGTCCACGTGCGATTTTTGAGTGTTTGTAGCGCTTTTTGCTTGAACGAGCACTTTTGCAAAACGAGCGCTTTTTTTTGGTAGCGAAGGAAGGTTCAGGCATGAATGGGATCATTTTCCGCTAGTGGAAATGGAGTCTCAGTATGTACCCTAGAAAATGGGACATAAAAAAGCATCTTGTAACCATTTTCCGAGGTGCGAATTGAGACTGCAGGTATGGTAAGCCACAATTTCTTGGATGTGGAATCCAGTTCCACCGCCCAAACCAACGCATCTATATACAACAGTTACTTACATGGGATGGGTCATAAATGACGCCCTAGAAATCCAAGTACCTTGTCAGAAGTGAGTGCAAGATGTCCCACTGAAGAAATCCAGCTGCTGCGGCTGAGCTGCAACTCAGGAGCATCCTGGACATGGGTGTCCTGGCTGGACGACCCTACGGGTTGGGGTTTTGCAGACAGGACATCCAGACAGGATGGTCCAGGTAGTAATTCATCCCCCCAAACCTCCTGTTCTTTCCCTCACCCAAACCGCTTATTCGACCGCGCTACCACCAGGTCTATCCCCATCTTTCTTCTTCGAATTCCACCGAACTCGTTCGACCACCCCCCCTCGCCTTCGCCCCCTCGCCTTCGCCCGCGCGAGGCATCCGAGTGGCCGAGTTCTGGAGCTTTCTGGAGGCCTTGACCGCCTCCGAAGACTTCCAAAAGTTCCTCCAGGCGCGCCGAAGAAGGATGGGCGTTTCCATTGGTGGGGCTGGAGGGGCCCCGAAAAAAAGCCCTTTGTTGGGGTGGAGGGGAACCAAGGACCGAAGCCCGCAGCGTTGATTCTGGTGCGCAGGTTGGTGAGGTTTGTGGCGGTCGTTCCAAAAAGAGGTGTGGATGGTCTTGGTGGGAGGAAGACTGGAGAACAAGAGCCAAAGAATTGAAACCTCCTACCTTATCCAGGATTTATCTGGACTTTAACCTTGGGAATTGGTTTTCCCTCACCGAGATGCAAACAGGCAGAAAGTTTTATTAATTACATGGCTGTGGGTCAAAGCCCTGATCCCTGATCCCTGAGTCACGGTGAAAACCTCCCTTGTAGTCTGTTCATAGACTCGGTGGGCAATGAACAGGTCTCCCGGTTTGGGCCCAGATCATCGGCATTTTGCGGATTTGGGCATCGGAGAGACGCACTGAGGACACACGGAGAGACGCCGAGCGGACATATCGCCGAGCGTTGCATCTGCTCCTGAACCGGTCCCAACCTCTTGTCTTTGACCCTGGGCTGGGAACGGATATGAAGGAATGAAAGAAAGGCCTGTGAAAAGAGAGAAGAGAGTTCTACTACTTATGGACATGTTCCCCATTCTTGTAGTTTTTCTTAAAACTGAGGACATCCTCAATCCGCAGCAGATTAGCATTTGTAGTGACACTTGCAGTGCAGGTGGCCTGAATCGAACATCGCCTGCGTCCACAGGTGATGCTGGAAGCTGCACGTCTCCAGAAGACTGAGGACTCAAATAGACAGCCTTGATGAGGGTTGTTGTCACAGTGCTGTGAAGTGAATCTTGCAAGAAAATCCAGTGTGCTTTTGGTATTCGAGGCAGCCATGAACAAGAACTTGGATAAAAGATGATAAAAATTCTTCATAGTTTGTTTGTTCCTGTACCCAATGCTGTGGCAGTTCTTCAAATTCAATACTTGTAACCCCTCCCTTCAGATTCGACTATCCATTCTTGCCACCTCCGAGTGTCTTCAAGCCGCCAGGAGAGGTCCGGCTACCCCCTGCGACGGTGATGGGGATGATTTTTTCAGAGAGAACGGCGAGCTCACATGGTGCCAGAGAAGAAGTCTCAGTTGCAAAACGTTTGACATCGTTTGACACATCTGAACGTCTGAAAGACTAGAAGAGTTTTTTTCAAGACGCCTGAACGATTTGAAAGACACCTGAAGAGATCTAAAAAAGACAACAAATTGACGTCTGAACAGAAGAAGCACTGAAAAACACCTCAGGTCCAACGAGCTCGCCCTCATGGCCAAGCCCAGCTGCTACCAAATCAGCCACCAGGACCTCTTCAGCCTTTCGGGGCGCGCCATCAGGCGGTTCAGCTGGCCAAGGGTGGAAGGCTCCGGTTCATCCATCCGGACCAAGAAGAGCGGTGACAGCCGTGGGAGATGATCATGGGACGGGATGAAGCGGTGAATGCGTACTGAACACATGCGTACTGGTGGTTGTTCATCCTCGTAAGTCAGTCCCATCTCAGATTTGGAAGTTGGGTGGGACGAAAAGTGATCGCCAAGATCTCCAAAAAGAGACATGAGACATCTTCTGCAAGGAGGCGAGTCCATGGCGCTCCATTTGGAGACCAGCTTCACGGGCACCTCGGTGTGTTAGCGTTCGCTCATTCATGTCTGCGAGCCTACCCTTTGTGCAGTGATTTGAGGGAAGATTGGGAGAGTTTTCAGATGAATTATAAAACATTATAGGACCATATAGGATGAAAGCAGTCTCCTGTTTCTCCATGTTTGGAGGAGCTAGAGCCAAATGTCTCAACTCAGCAGCTTGATTTCAGGTATTTTCTGATCTCCGTCAGCAGGGCTGGAACCTGCACCTGTTCCTGAGCCGAGTGCCCAGCGAAATGAGCTGAAAAAAGGTCCTGGCCTGGACGGTGAAAAGAACCTGCGCGCGCACGATGAAATGGGCTTCAAATCCAGCGAAGAGGTCTTAAGCGCTTCCAAGGAGTCGACGTCGACTGGGCAGGGCAGGAAGCCCCCCCTCCCGACCCCAATCAACAGGACGGTTGTAGGCGCGCGGAGCGGAGTCTACATGGGGGTTGAAAGAGGTCCTTGGAGATGAATTGGACTGAACTCATGTTTTTAGATGCTCAAGAGTTGTTCAGAAGCAGGCCCACGTAGTTTTGCCAAAAGCACATAAATAGACTGGACGCGGTTGTGGTACATATTGTAGTACTGCTCATGCCCTCTTCAGGAAGACCAGTCATCTCCATTCATGAACCCTCATACTTGTACGTCCTCTTGCTTGATTCTTAGTTTGGGCAACCCTTAAACTTATAGCTCCTGGCTCTTCAAGGAGACCGTCCTTGATCTCCCAGTTACAAAACTAAGGGCCTTTTGAACGGTCACTACAGGTGAAACTGCCGTGCGTCCCTTGTTTGTTCGTACCACTGGGAACACAAAACGATCGATTTGTTTGAAGCCAAGCGCGATGAACTCCCCCCTCGGTTTTCCGGGACGGACGTCCAACTGCCTGATCTTCCACCATCCTGAACACACAGACCGAATGCTCGGGTTTGCTCGCTATACCTACCAGCAGCCACCTTGGACGGTTTATCACCCATTTGTGTGACCATATTCAGAAACCATCAAAACACTCCCTAAGGATCCAAGTACCCTCTGAGAAGGTGGGACTGGGGTGGGTTTGGAGGGTCACCTTTTGAGGAGGTACGACTGGATCCCTAGGGACTTCTAAACATACCCAGACACTCCGATCAATTGCCCCCTCCGGCACCACCCCAACTGCTGGGCAGTCCGTCCCGTGAGTCGCGGCGTGACCCGGTCCTTGGTGAACTAGGACCCGTCACCTGGGGTACCTATGGGATAGCCTATACTATAGGGTCCTTCAACCTCTCTTGGAAGTCCTCCAGGCCTACAGAGACGATCCAGACTTCGAGCTGCGCCTCCGCTGCGTGTGTTTGAGTTCAACTCGCTGCGCTAGCTGAGGTTACATCCAGTGAACTTGTGGAAGTTATGTATAACATAAGTTACTTATAGAGATCCAGTCGTACCTTCTCAGGTACTGTGATGTGTTCGACACTGAGACATGTAGGTTTGGAGGGTCCACGGTCCACTAGCTAACGACCTGAAGGCAGCTAGGGTATGAACTGAAGGAAGCGGGCCAGGGCGGTTTTCGGATTTTCCGGCCCAACTTGTCTCCCACTCGGACCATAATCATCGTGGACTTTGGGTGATGAGGGAAGTCAGATTGGAAGCCAATCGAGGTATCCAATTTTTGAGTTCCAAGCAGTGTCTCTCTTTATCTCTTTGTTTACCTATCGTCAGCGGATAGAACCTTCTTTAACATCCTTTCACCGTTCAATGTTGGGCCCACTGGGAGTGTTTCCCCACTCAACTAAGAACATAACTAAGCAAAGATAACCAGGAGTCACGTGAACTCGACGGGTGCCGAGACTTCACGGAGGAAGTCGGGGTGCCCCGTCGTCACATCCACGGACCTGGGACCAAAACACCACCCCGACTGTGACCGTTGGAACGGACAGGTGCTGTATTTGACCGTCGTTTTTCTTTTCCACACCGACCAGACCGCTGTCGCCTTGCCCCGGACGTCGACCAGATCTCGCCACAGACTGCTCGGGAGATCGTTTGAGGAACCCCGTGCTGACAGTGGACGCGGTTTGGGGTTCTGACCGGTAGTAGTTAGAAGCACCGGTGTCGAAGTTTAGATACCATGGACCTTCCATGAGCGACCTCTTCAGGATTGGGAGTTGATCAAACATGCAAGAAGAGATGTTGGAATGCTGTCTTCTGATTGCTGCAGAGTGCGATGTTACATGAAACAAAAGTTCTTTAGTTCTACACAGCAGGGAGCAGATCTACGGGGTCTTTCTCGGGGCTTTCTGTTGAGCAGATCCACGTCCAAAGCTCATCTCTCTGAGAGAAACTAAGCCACGAACTTGTGCGCCCAGGTTCGATTTGATGTTGGCCGGAGCAGTGCATCCTTCCATCATGCAGGCAGGGGAGAAGTTCTTGACAGAGCCTCTTCAGTCAAACTTAGGAAAGCTAGGAAACCCGTTTAAACCAAAGTTTGGGCGGTGTTTGGGTGTTGCTGGCGTTGCTTTGCCAAGGCAAAGCACTCTTGTGGGTCATATGGGTCATAACGTGTCGTTCAAGTGAACAGCACCTGAGATCGGATCCAACAGCACCTCCACCAGTACTTCTCAGGACGTACGAACGGAAGGCTGAGGAGGTGTCATGAAAATCCAATGCGGGCGACCAAGAAAGGGCTCAACCAGTCTGTTGGGTGATCCCGTTTTTTTTTTTTTGAACTGCTCATGGAATAGGCTCCCAATCGATGTGGATCCTAGTTGGAGTGCTAAAAATAGCATAGTGCGGAAGCAGCACTTGAAGAGAGACATCCTCAATGACCTGAACAAGAGCTTCCATGATCCAAAACACATGTTTTTCTCCGGGCGCTGGAACAGTAAGGATGAGCAGGTGCGCTGAAAGATGCGTTTTTCAGCATATTGTTCATTTCGACTTTCAGCAAGTATAGTTGAGTGTGTGAAAGAGTGTGTACATATTAGGATGGTACACACAACATATTACATATATGAGCTTACTATAGCTGTGCCTTTATGTGCCTTTCAGTCTTTCAGTTCGGTGTAGTATGGTGTTCTTTTGAGTGGTACTTGGATCCACATTGGACGATACTTGGATCCGCCGTGCCCAAGAATCGGCGACACTCCGTGCTACGGCCGTCTCGTGTTGTGCTTGATCCTTCTCAGAAGGTACTTGGACCCTCAAGACCTACATAAGAGTGTCTCCAATCATCTGAGAAGGTACTTGGATCCATAGGGATTGGGGTGCCGAAACCAGTTCCATGTTCGTTGGGGTGCCTCACCGGATCGCGTCCGGTCGGATCACCCGGGATCGTCGGACTCGCGGCCGTTCGGCGGCGGCGGCGGCAGCTTGCGGGAACTGCGACCGAGCGAGCGATTGGGTCAGTCGACTGGACCGGTTGACTTGCCAAGAGAGGTTAAGTGACCTGAACTAGGACCCGTCACCTGGGGTACCTATGGGATAGTGTATAGGGTCACTTAACCTCTCTTGGTGGGCGCATCGCATTTTCCCGGCGGCTGGGAAAAGCCTCCAAAGGGCCCACGGCCGATGCGTCGCGCGGTGATGAGAGTTCAAACAGTGCAGTCATGGGATGTCAGTCATAACCAGGGGTGTCCATGGTCACCCGAACTCCGTGGTACTGGATACGATCGTGTTTCTTTTGTTTTAACCACCCCGCCCCCGCTTACAAGATGTCCTCGTACTCGTACATTATATGATACCCGGGTATCATTGAAGACAGCTAAGAAGACCAACTATATGAAGCAAGACCTTGGGTTCTCCCAAAAGACTGGTGTGATTCTCTATATAGACTTGGGTTCTCTAATGATTTCGCTATACCAAGTCTCTGAGTAGCTGGGCCCATCACAACTGCGCCGCCGCCTTTTCGCCTCAGCAACCCCAGTTCCGCTGAAAACGGCGGTGCCAGGATCAAAAGAATCTGCTACGCGAGCTCCAGGGTTTAGTGCACAACTGCGCGGATGGTGCGACCCGACCACCCGTGGGGACTCCGTGGGAGCCGGTGAGGAGTGGGAGGAAGCGCGACCGAGGTCTATGGACATGTCTACCCAGGAAGAGTGGATGTTTCATCCAACTTTTTGGGGAGGGATTGGAGTTCCATGATTGGTATTCCATGTTACACCAGGCCAGGTGAAATAGGGTGATTTTTTGATTTTCCAAAACCATGACGGAGGTGATCCACGAAGAGGTCGGCATTCGTGGACTGGACACCATGGATGGCTCACATCAACGTGTGTGTGCGTGTGTAGCTCGACGAGATTTCGGGGGGGTCCCCCTATTTAAAATCTCAAAGTCGGTACCTTCTACCAGGACCTTCCAACAGGTGGTTTTGGGCAACCTCTTAACCTCTAAGAGGCTATTTATAGACACCTCTTGGAAGGTCCTGGTAAAAGCCCATGCCATGTTTTTGGCTAAATGCCTCATGTTCGATGCTTTGTGGGGTCCCCCGGTCTCCGCAACGTTGTGCGTGTCAGCTCCCCAGTCTTCGAGCGGCGGTCGACACGGGATGCAGAGAAACACGATCCCCTGGCACGGTTGTTTGATGATCAATTGATCAATCCCTACCAGGACCTTCCAAGAGGTGTCTATAAATAGCCTCTTAGAGGTAAAGAGGTTGAAAACCACCGGACTTGGAAGGTCCTGGTATGGATCAACTGCCACCTTCTCAGAAGGTAATTGGACCCTCCTGGCGCCTACATCAATAGTCCCCAATCACCGTACCTCAGAAGGTATGCAGATCAGGGAATTGATCCCCAAGGTCAACCGCCCCCAATGTAAAGACAGTCCCATGGAGTCCCGTTTGGGATCCGTTCTCGTACCTTCTACCTCAGGTTCGGTAAACCTCCTGGACCCGACGTGACTTGGCACCGCTACATAGCCATAGCGGTGTCGGTCTCAGTCCTCACCGTACCTGAGAAGATACTTGGAGCCTAGGGAGTGTTTGGGGTTTGTTGAGTTTGGAGTTGGCTAGTTGGCCTGTGCTTCGCAAGATGGTTTTCTTCACCTCCTCCCGCAGGCCTGTGGCTCCCGGACGCTGCATTTCACCCCCCGAACCCAGTCACAACCCCCCCCCCTCCACCGCGGTGCGGACCGTGGTGCCAGCGAACGAAGGAACAACGCGCGCCTGATCGCGCGCGAGTCAGACTGCCGGCAGCCTGCCCTCTGACCCCCTCCGAGTGGATCTCGAGGGATCCAGGGCTGGTGGGAGAGGAGCGCTCGAATCCACACCAGAGCACGTCCTCCTCCGAGAGCGATGTAGCATCACCGGCCACGAGCGCTGTTCAGCAGCATCCGGAGCGCTGCGAACCGTGCGCCGCTTGGAGGGGAGAGGTTAAACTGAGGAAAGAGACAAGGCCGAAGGTTCTTTTGGTCTTGTGGATCAGTCTGGAGCAGTGACGTGCACATGGTTGACACATGTATAAGGTACATACCCATCATACGCATCATACCCCTCTGGTCGTTGGCTTCCAAGCCGCTTGGGTCGGAACCGCCTGGTCCGCGGTGTCCGCTGTCGCTGTCCGATGTGCGGTGAAACTGGAGAAGAGATCTGCAAGCTGATGGATTGAAGCGACCCCCAAAAACGTATGAGCGATCATTGCAGCAGTATCTCAGAATCTCTATATCTCCATATGAGCAACCACTTTTATTGAGGCTTTACTAAAGTAGTCTACGACATGCTCTATTTGCTTGTCTATCATCAGTATTCGCTTGTGAACGAGATAGGGCCCCCACAGAAACGAGATACTTTTTCTTGATGACACGAAAGTAGTCTGAACGAGATAGTGTGATATGCTACTAAAGTAGTCTGAACGAGATAATACTGTGACATGACCTCCTACTCAAGTAGTCTAAGCGAGATAGGGCCCCCACATAATAGATAGTGTAATTGAGTTTATTACCAAATAAATGCCGCCGCACATATATATATATATATATTCATTCATAGATATTCACTAAGCATGCGACTGTAACGTGTACTTTCTGCAACAGATTCCGTCTCCAGAATGTCCTTGGCACAGGGCATGCTGGGCACAGGACTTGCAGCTTTTCTTCTGGCAGGTTTTGTTGTGATTTGGTAATCTTAGTGATGCATGTGTTCCTTTTTCCTTAGCACTCCCAACATCTCCACACACTTGGACGGGCGAGAAACCTGCTAGGGTTGGCCCCGCAAAAAGAGGGAAAACGACAACAGATTTGGACCACACGTTGATGTGGCAATACATGCCCCAAATCAAGGATTCACAGACGTTTTGGCAAGGTGCTTGGGATGGGTTTGGAGTAAGCAACATGCTGGATGGCCCAGATTGTTGGAGTAGCCTCTGACAAACCTAACATTAACCCCTGGAAGACACAACATTTAGTTGTGGGGCTTGGATCTGCAAGTGCTTCCACGTGAGTCTACTTCTTCAGCTTGCCCAGTCAGGTGTCATTTCAGGGCAACTAACAAGTTGAACAGTTCCGGAAGAAAAGAACACGCTCAGAAAAAAAAAAAAACATGTCCGAACCGAAGACATGTGTATCACAGCTCCGGAAGTGAGGTCTTCATGTTCTCTTCACATGGATGTGCGAAGGGAGAGCAGTGCAGATATTGCCACCAGCCGCACCCTGCAGTCGAATCATCGCGCCCAGTGAAGCTGTGGCGTGAACAGATGAAGGAGCAGGTGGGGCGCAGGTGGGTTGGCTGACAAAGACCCACCTGCTATGGGAGAAAAGAGCCCACAGGTCGTTGGCTTCTCATATTATTAATTATATATGGGGATCTATTAATCAATATATTGTATAGCATGATATCGCTATGATACCCAAAACTATGGGTTCTCAGGTATCTATATAGAATATTATACTTTGTGTTCTTCTATCCCGGACACCGACTGATGGGATTGCTTGAATTGCTTCAGTGGTCCAAAAGGATCAGCTGCATCTCAGCTGCATCAGCTAGCAGTCCCATGGATATTCCAGTCTGGTGGAGTGCTTTGGAATGATTTCTCCGTTTACGATGATGTGGTCAGGTTGAGCAGGTCGTGTTCTCAAGCGCGGGTTCGCAACAGGTCATGGTTCAGTTCATGGTGATCAGCTAAATGGGCAATGCTCGAGGGTTTTCTTTTCCCAGTTCACACATCTCTGGGTTTTCAGGTCGACATCAATTGGGTGTTACTAACATATTCGGGTCGGTACGTATGTCGTCCCAGATGTGCGGGAACTTCCCCGCACCATCCTCCAGACTTCTCCCCTGCCTGTCCTCCGCCGTGGAGCCGCTTCTAGCGTCGCGCGCGAGGTGCTGCTGTGCCTCCTTGCGAAGGATATGGAAGAAATGCACCAACGTTTGCAGAAAGAAGCACGGCCACATCCATATGTGCCTCGGAGCCTGAACGGAACTCCATGTGTTTTTGGGGTGACCGTCCCAGGACAAGCTGCAACAGGTTGGTATAAATAGCACCATTTTGGAAATGTCGGCCTGCCTAACGATCATCATCCACTGGGCCCTGGTAACAGGATAGAGACCCAAACGATACACTCCCGAGTCAACTAACATAGACCCGGGTCCGTCCTGGCCCCCCTTTGGGTCCAAGTGTTTTCCTCTACCAACCAGTGGTTTTCAGGGTCCATGTTAATCTTCCAGGGTGCATTGGATATTTCGGAAAGAACGAAGCGCTTCGGGCGCCGCGCTCCTCGGTTTCGGCGCCGCGCTCCGAGCTCCGGCACCGCCCGGGAAGACCGGGTTCACGCCGGGGGAGCCGGTGTTGACCTTCAAAACGAGCTGCGGAGGAAAGCGGGATGCCTTGACTGACTTGAAGAAAAAGGGCCGACTCCTTACGTGTCCACCAAGTTGTCCATTGACCTGTCCAAAAATTGGACATTAGGTGGAATCTTCATCATTTGGGTCGTGTGAGAGTGTGAGAACCACTGGCGAACCTCCAACTGGCTCAACCTCCAAACCTATTATCCCAAATGGACGGTGGACGCTGGGTGGATGCTCTGCGGGCTGGACGCACGTGACAAATACCTTTGACACCCCAAAGGCTTGGGCTTTCAAAAGAAAAGGGCCTTGACCTGCGGAATCCTGCGGATATGTCCGGATTCGAGGCTTACTTCCGTACTTTGGATGGGTTTTCCATACGGACGGGTCCACAGCGAAGCCCTAAAAGGTGTACTTGTGGAAGAAACAGGGGGGGCGCAAGCATGCGCAAGCTGCTCTGGACAAGTGGGTGGGCGTCGACTGATCATGCTATAGCTAGCCTGTCTAAATCCTTTCTCAGGTACTTCAACTTCTTTGAACCATCTTGCAGACAAAAACTGAAACGCAACCCTGTCAGGGAGTAGACTCAATTTGACGAACAGATGCATGAACGAGGCTTATGATGCATACAGAAAGGGATCAGAGGGTAGCTGGTTTCACATGTCTTTAGGCCAGTAGTCACTCACGAAGGAATTCGTTAAGCTTGTTGGCTTTTTTATTTCAAAAGGAATTGGACTATGGCTATATACGAACACCGGGATCGATCCCGACAGAGTCAATGCTGCTTCGGAACCCAGAAATCCTGACACCGAACCAGGCACAGTGAAACACTGCGCCTCCAACAGGGTCACCAACAGACGGGGTCCAGGATGCCTCTAGACTCTAGATCTTCAAAGTTGTGAAGATGGTTCGAACAGGGAGACTGGGAAGTTGGAGGCAACAGGTTTGTGCCCTTAGATGTCCTGGGCTGCACTAAGCCTATACAGCTTATATACTCCACAGGTTCAAAGACCCAGTAAGACCTTGTCCTTTAGCACTTTTGCATAATCAACTCCAATGAAATAAGTTCTTTGACCTGTAAGGATATAATATATAAATATAAGATATCCTGATGTAGTGGGGCCGCTCTCCCTGATCTTCCACACCTGCTCGATTCCCTCCCCGAGCCTCGCCTGCTGTCGAGGCCCGGAAACTCATCGAGGGCTACTTGAACAAGGTCTCCTTTCTCCGGAGCGAGGAGGGCGTCCAGACCGTCTTCTCGCTGTGAAGCACGGAACAGAAGGATCCACATACCCTATGGATCCACATACCTTCTGAGGTACGGTGATTGGAGACTATTTATGTAGGCGCCAGGAGGGCCCAGTCGTACCTTCTGAGAAGGTATGTGGATCCCTATAGGGATCATATGTATGTTCGATATTTGACGGCCCTGGGAGATGGCCAGAAACCGGCAGTGTCTCTGTGACACGGCCGTGGTTTGTTCTGAAACCGTTTCACATCCAAATACGTGCCCTGTGCAACATTCGCCACAAGGATTTCACCTTCTGGGGCCAAATCCCATCGAAGAACGGGGTCGTCCACAGTTGTGACGATTCGCGTAAGGCACCCGAACGACGCTCGATGTGAAGATCTAAGCGGCTGGGATGACGCCGTCTGCGAGATATGATGATCATGCTGTTTCTATGCGCTTGATATAGGCCTTGTTTTCATACACTGATGACATATGAAGTATGATGAAATCCACCCATCTTTGGTGAATGCAATTCACCACGTTCGTGATACACCCCAAATTGTATGAAACCCGGCATGTTTGTGTGAGGCAGTCCGCTCGCTGCTTGTGGGCATAGAGTGTTGTTTGGGGTGTCATTTTTCACCCGCGTGGCGGCTCGCCCGAAAGACCCTGCTGGAGGCGGGGTGCGAGTGACGAAAAGCCCGCAGGAGGGCAGCGTTTCATCCGGCCCCATGCAAAAATTTGGGCGCCGGCCAAGCAGCCTGGTAAAGCAGGCGCAGAGGATGGGACATCCAAAAGATGGATAAGTAGTACACCAGAAACATCAATGCCGGTCTTTCAAAAGTATCCAAAGACCTGACAAAAAGATGATGTGTTTGTTCAAACTCAGCGCCAGTTTCCAGGTTGCAGGAATCGCGGGCTACGGCCACGGGCCGCGAGCTCCAGCGCACTTCGCAGGAAGGTAGACACTTCTCGGATCACTCTGGCAAGCAAGCTCAAACAGGCTTTGCCCTGATTTTCTAGCACCGTGGAACTCGAGTGTGATTCAGCAACTGAGGGGCCGATTCCTCCCGAACTTTTGCCAGCGATCTGGACATGTCAGGAACAATTCACGTCCCCTTGGTCAACAAGAACAGGTTTTGACTCTTGTTCAATCTTGTCACGAGATGTTGCTGAATTTCATTTGAGATGAGCTGGTGCAACCAGCTGTCAACAATGACCTGGCCCTGTCATACGTCTGAGAGGAGATTCGTCACACATTGTCGCTTTGTCATACAAAAAAGAGAGAGCGACTGATGTGGAACACACACACACACATGCGTTCACCGAGGCTTGTCAAACATGACATGTTCACAGGGATGTTGCACATGCGTTCAGGGACAGCCCATCTTTAGTGGTAGCGTGTTCGAGGATCGATGAAGAAATCCATCATCCCTAGGGATCCAGTCGTACCTCCTCAAAAGGTACGACTGGACCCTCCTGGCACCCACCCCAGTCCCACCTTCTCAGAGGGTACGACTGGATCCTTAGGGAATGACACATGGAGTGCTGGGGAAATCCCTACATCCAGTCGTACCTTCTCCTCAGTTTCGGTACGACTGGACCCTCCAAACCCCTACATCACAGTGCCTCCGTCCTCACCGTACCCTGAGGTTCGGTAGGACTGCGGATCCCTTTAGGGATTGAGTGAGAGTCTGAATCGTTTCAAGCCACCCGGGGGAAGCCGGGCGGCTGGAAACGGTCCAACCTGGCTTCCCCGTTCGAGGTATCGAGGGCACCGCCGTGCGGGGCAAGTGGGGAAGCCAAGAGAGACGGGGTCGACCACAGCGACGAGGTGTGGGACTGTGCATCACTCGGATGGGCTGACAGCCCATCTCCGACTCGGTGACCGGTAACACAGACCCCCCCCAAAATCCGCCCCTGGCCGTGGGCCAGGAGCCCTAGGGTCAGATGGTATCCATCCCTAGGGCTCCAGTCCCATACCTAGGGCTCCTATAATCTCACCATGCCCTGTCCGGGCTCCAGTCCTACCGAAACGATGCCCCAGACACGACAATGGCACCCAGGTGCCCAGTCCCACCTTCGAAACGAAGGTACAACTGGAGCCTGGACAGGGCATTGACGGGCTTTGTGAACCACGACAGCTTTCGACATGCCAGACACGCTGGGACTTGGAGCCTTTACATTGAAAAGGGGTTCATGTATACCATTGTGTACCCATACACTCCATGTGACTGCCATAGGACTGCCGCCCCAGAAAGACCCCCCTGGCACCACCCCAACTGATTCGGCAGTCCTCATAGGAGTCCCGTGGCTCGCGTTTGGGATGAAGATGTCAGTCCGCTCACATCGATCGAAGAGGTCGGTATACGAACATGGAGGATGTTGGGCATCCTGAAGGCTTTGAGGACCCAACGTGTGATCGATGGGAATCGATGCCAGTTGCACAAGAACTGCGTATAGGGTCATTTTTGTTCACCAGCTGCGACTGATTCGAACGTATTGAACGATCGTTTAAGATATTTTAAGAGCATGTTCATCCATGCCTCATCCATGTTCCATGATGATTCCAGTGAGTGGATACGAGTTGGCTGGGAGACCTCAAGGACCCAGCAACAGAACAGCTGTGCTGTCGTTGGATTGATGTAATCTTTATAAGTCTATAACGAACATGCCCCAAACAAAGAACAGCACATGCGAAACAACACGACCCTAAAATTGCTATTAAACGGTGTGTGTAATTGATTCAACATCAAAAGCACAGTGCATGTTTGGTAGTGTTCAACATTTCTAGTAGGGCAGTGTTTAATACATCCATCAGATGTTGTCTCTCTTGCGGAATAAAGAGTGATTGTGTCACTCATTGCTTGTAAGATGTCCCCCCTTCTGCAGCATGCTTAGATCCGATATCGCCAAACGAGTGACTAACTGCGGGTCTATAGGGCGCCTCGCCAGCATCGAGATGCTCCACGCATAAGCACCGCGCGCGCTGGCTGGGCTCCATGAGGGCAATGGCCTCCAGCTATTTCAGGAATCATGAGTTGTGTGGCCATATATATATATATAATAGCTGATCAAGCATCACAAGTCTTTGAATAAGACTCGTGTTTCAAGGTCGATCAAACCATGTCAGACATCCTGGCAAATTCCAGGAATGCCATGGAATGGCCGTACATTTGTCACGAAATTGCCCAGTTTGCCCAGCTTGATTTAGCGGTGTGGTTCTTTTTCGCTGCGGAGCTATAGCCACGGAAGCACCCGAACCTCGTTGGACCACCCCAGATGTGTTTTCAATTTTGGGTGTTTTGCTCATCACCTCATGGCACATCTCATGGACCTGAAAACCAGAATCATGCCTTTGAAGATCCACGGTGGACCAATTTTCACACACGGAACCCCAAGTCGAGTCAAGTGGAAACAAGAAGGACTTGCAGAAAAACACTCCAACAACTTCCACGTGGGGCCCGCGACTCGCTTCCTACCCTCTTTCCAAGACCTGGTCCCAACATCGACCCCTCCTCTAAAGTCCAAAAAGAGTCCCAACAGAGGTTGAAGGACCCTATAGTATAGCCTATCCCATAGGTACCCCAGGTGACGGGTCTTAGTTCAGGTCACTGGATACCTCTCTTGGTCCATTCCCCGCATCAACTGGTCCACCGCCCTCAGCGCCTCGGTCAGTCCACTCCCACGACTCTCTCGACCGCATGCGCGGTCGCGCCCCGTCGCCATGGCCGGGACGTCATTGGACCGGCGGAAGTGCCTGGACCGTCTTTGGGGGAGCGTGGAGCCGGGGACATGTGTTGGAGCGGGCTATCGGACTATCGGTAGATATAGACCCTATGGATCCAGTCGTACCTTCTCAGAAGGTGATTGGAGACACTCTTATGTAGGTCTTGAGGGTCCAAGTACCTTCTGAGAAGGTACTTGGATCCCTAGGGAGAGGGGCTGATAGATTTTAGATTTTAGATTCATGATGGATTTTAGATTCATGATGCGTGGAGCCGGTCGTCTTAAATGTGGGAGTTTCTTGAGCGATGGACCGTGCATGAGCGGTAATTTTTGCCGCGCAATCGGTCGACGATGGTCGACTTGTTGTTTTTGTCTCTTTTAGTTGGGTTCACTGTTCGGTGAGAACAGGGCATGTGACATGTCAAGGGATTTCATTGGGGAGATGTCTCGTTTTTGAGACGAAGGAGACCAAATCTCATTTCCTATGTCCTACGTCGCTGCTACACCAGACAGCCAATGACTGGAAAGAAGTCAGGATGCCGTGCTGGGTTTCTATCCAGTGGTAGACGTGGTGTTTTTTCGCTGTGTTTGCTTTTTCAGAATACCCAGACGCAACCCATGGGACATCATGGGACTGCCATGTATGCCTACATTGACCCCCAGTCAACCACCCCAATATAGGCATATATGGCAGTCCCATGGAGTGTCTGGGATATTTGATACACGTAGTCTAGTACGTGGTGTTTCTTTGTGCGATCAATCGACTTCTGCCCCCTTTTTAGGGTCGGATCGAGAAGTTCGACCGAAAAAAAAAACGAGATCATCTGAGTGTTCCTGGTGTTTCTTTTTTGTTCAAAGGTCGTCCAATCAACTCACAGCTGTGCTGCTTGGCGCAGTGTCCACGCAAGACCAGACGCTTCATCCGCTGGGCTTGCCGCTCCTTCCCGGGGCTCGGCGGGGCTTGGCAGCTTGTACCCCATTTTGGGGAGATGCGCACCTCTCACCTCGAAATCCAGCGACATCAATCACCCCGGTGAAATCCAGCGAAATCCACCACGAAACCCCGCCAACGGCCATTCGAGAACCCGAGGATCTTGGGCTGTGCCAACCCCAACTGCCCTTTTCGAGTATGCCCAGACCCTGAGCTGGGCGGCTTTTGCTGTATCAGTGCCTTGGAAGCTGCCCAAGAGCCTAAGTGTTAATTATAGGAGTTCTACTGGAGGGAAAGCGAAACAGGAACTGTGAAACGATGGGTGGGAAGAAAAACACCTAATTATGTCATCAGGAAAGAGCCTATATATATATATATGCCACACCTCCTATCCTGTGATGATTTGTCAGAATCTGTTAATACTCTTTCATGCCGGGGTTTAAGAGAAAAGCGAATGCACCGACTTCGGCGCTGAATTGATGGGCACCGACTCCGGCAGCCGCCCACGGCGACTTGCCACCCCAAAACCGCCCCCAGAAGGGTCGAGAAAGACGCCGATCGATGCAGGTTGCTACGAATCCTTCACCTATGGTGTGGAGTTGACTCATACCAATCGTTGCCAGCAGGCGGGGACTGGTCGAAAACCTACCTCCCGGAGCAGTGGCGTCGGAGTTGAGAAGTTGTTGAGAAGTGCAGCCCTTGAGCTGTATGGGCAAACATGAACCCCAGAGTATCTGCAGTAAACCGTTCTAATGTGTTTGTTGTTTTTGAATTGCCTGGCATGACTTGTACTATCTTGCACTCCAGTCATGTTGTGTTTAGTGATGAAAACCGAGTTTTCCACAATTCACAGTGAGAGTCTACGAAACAATTTGCATGAGGTATTTTGTTAATTTAACATAAAGGACGAGTACCTGCACATGTCTTTTCACCTTAGACAGGTACAAATCCCACCAACTCAGGAGTTCAGTTCATGCTGAAGCTCGTAAACTCGGATGTCCACCGAACTCCGTGGCCGGGGGCGGGTTCCGCGGAACCACCACGGGTGGAGTCCGGTGCGTCTGGTGTGGAACCGATGATCGATCGCCTGAGGGATAGACTTGAGCCTCTGAATGTGTCACAGACATCCTGAGGATGTACGGCTATAGACGGCTATAGGCTACAGCTACCTCTTTTTGCGTCGGTGTTGGTAGGCCGATGAATCAGTTGGTGCGAGCTGTGGTGGGTAGGGGGTGCTTGGACAAAGTGCCTGAAACAGACTGTGAAGTCGCAGACCGGCGAAGATGATGTGAACGTGGTGACCGAGAATGCTGCAGGGCGCTTGAAAGGTGGTGGAAGATAGCCATCCATACGAGCTGACTTCTACTGCTAGACACTGGAAGGTATACCATCGGCTTGCAGCCACGCTGGAATCGCTAGAAGAGCCAGGGAGATTGGCAAAACTGTGCTGACAGAAAACAAATGTGAGAAGCATTTCCATACTGCTCAACTAGTGTCCGTCCTCACCCTCAGAGGGTAGAGTTATGTGGGGATAGATTCCAAGAACCCTCAGAGGGTATAGGTGCGACTCTTGCTTTGCTTGCATGAGCCAGGCAGCTGTCACTTTGGCAACTTGGGCAGCGCAGATCCTATTTGGCGTCTTGTTCCAACAATCCAACCGTGTAAGAAAAGAGGTGGTACTAGCATGTACCGTTTTCACCACACCACAGAAAGTGTATTATTTGCATTGTTTTGCTGTTACCCGGTACCCATCATCGGCATGCTTTCCCTTTTGCTGGACCATCGGTGCGCTAGAGTCGCAGGCCTTCGCATGTCTTTTTCATGGCCAGTTACATTCACAAACTGGCGCGTGCGCTTCCTGGGGGGCAAGATGCCACGGCTGTCCTGGGCTGGGTTCCAGCTCCTTCATGGAGGCCATCCCATGAACATCATGGAGGCCATCGCAGCCACCTCAACCCACATCAACCACGACCCTTCGGGCGGACGAAGAAAGAGACGCCGGTGACGCCTTGGCTTCGCAAAGTGGTGACACTTTGCTAAGCCCTGGTCTCATGTCTGATTTCGGTTCTCACCACTGCACTCACCTTCCTCATGCTGAGAGTCCTTGTTTTTCGGCGCAGCACGTTCACTCCC